TCTGATTCATGACCTCTGCAGCAACCAGCCTGGGAAGCCAAACCACAACCTCTAAGACAATCAGCCCAGATTGGTCTGACCTTGTCAATAAATCAGTTTCCTTATATTTTGCCCCCACTTTTAACACAGGACCAATCAGAGAAAGCCAATTGAATCACAGAAGAAGCCTGGCTTCTAGTTAGCCCATCTCTGGTTTCCCCCCTGCAGTGACCTCCAATCATAGCATATCTAAAGCCTTCCTCCCCAACCCCCCACCCCGCCCCACTATAAAGATTTTCCACTCTTCTGCCAGAGTCCTTTAAGTTTTGCCAAACACAAGTGATGGTGGCTGACTCCCTACTATAGCAAGCTCTGAATAAATAGCTTCTGTTTCTTCTCATTTGGGTGGTCTTCGTCTTTCTTTTGTTTCTTTTTTACATTGAAGTTTTGTGTTTCTCCCATTTTTTAGAGGAATTTCAGGAGGACGTGGCGTTACATGTGGTTCAGTTCATCATCTTTAGCGGGTAGTCTCTTCCTGTGTTCTTTTCTCTGTGACTTAGATATCAACAATCTACCCTTTCTCCTCTAGCTCTAGAAAGCCCAAAAATGATCTTTTGTCTTTTTCTCTAGCAAACCTGGATGCAAAATTTAGCACCTGTTCATATTCCTCCAAAGAATCTATTGGAACAAAAGTACTAGAGAATGATACAGACTTTGCTGAACTTTACCTAAGAGATAGATGAGGTTTCATAACACGCACATACCCCACAGCAAATAATTTAAACTCAACTCCCGAATACTTTAAATATTTCTTCCTCCCACAAAGTGTCTCCTCTGAGATGACTTTCTCTTTCTCCCAGGAAGTTTGGAGCTTTGCTGACTCCTCTTATCTCTGATTGATTCACCTAAATCTTTTAAATCCTCACCTCTTTGCCCTACAAAGCAATTCAGCTGAGCCCCCAATCACACCACTCACTGCAGAACAGAAGGAATGCTGATTCGCCAGCCTTTCAACCCTTATTTTTAGGTAAACTTGTCCCATTGGGGATGTGTAAGTCTCACCCTCATTCTAAGAAGACTTCAGGAGTTTCTTCTAAATGAATACAGACATCTGTTCCCAAGACATAGTCTCATTCCAGCTCCTGAGAAGAAAATGAAAGTTCCCTAAATCTCTAAACCACCAAAAAAGATATCTTTTCTCTCTTGCTAACAGTCTTTTTGTGTTTCCAACTAGCTTGCAAGCTTCTTGAGTGCATAGCTACATATTTTTACAATCTGTAGAGTACCTAACAATATTTAAAAAGTTTGTAGAGGATATCAGTGGGCAGAAAGGATGGATAGAATTTCAATGGAAGGAAACAGGTTTTTTCAGAAAGAGCCTATTTAGTGGTTCCTCTAAGTTTTAACCTTTATCTTCAACACACTAAACCAATCCAATAAGGGGTGCCCTATTAAAAACCTTTCTTGTCTATCTTCAGTGTTGGGCACTCAACAGGTTTTAGTTGACGTGTGGGGCATGCATTTATTATTAGTAGCAATATGTTTCATTTCCTGTATCAGTTAGGGTTCCATTGCTAGTAGCAGACTTCACGGAAGTGGCCTAAATAAAAACGTTAGTTTATTTTCTCACATCAAAGAAGTCCAGAAATAAGCAGTTCACGGTTAGTATGGAAGATACAGAAGGCAAAGGGATGCGGGCTCTTTCACCTCTCCACTCTGCCTTCCTGAGCACGTGGCTTCCATCTTCAAGGAGCCACTGCTGTGCCAGAAAGCTGTTTGAGCTCTAGCCACCAAGCCCTAGTCTTAGAAAGAAATAAGTGGAAGAGCAATGACAAAAAGGCAAAAAAGGCCTCTGGCAGGTGTCTGCACCCTTTTTTGGAACTTCACCAAAAGTCTAATGCAAAGAACTTTGTTTATAGAAGTTTTGTTTACACCTCGTTGGCCAGTCATATGGCCTTATCAATTTCCAGTGGAGACCAAAAAAAAAAAAAAAGGTATTTTTTAAGTGCAATTTTTAAATGCCCCCTGAGCAGGAGAGAATGGATATTGAGTAGGCCACTAGCACTTCCTGCCACAGGTCCTCTTGAATTTTCTGTACGCAATGGCCCAGTGCTTGGCATTAAGTTGTTCTTGGAATCAATGAATAAAGCATTTTTAGACAAATCAAGCCATTCACTGCATGATTCTTTTAGAAATTAATTGACTTTCTTTTCAGAGCAGTTTTAGGTTTACAGAAAATGTGAGCAGAAATTGCAGAGTTCCCAAATACCTTCCCACCACCCCACAGTTTCCCTTTTTTATTAACATCTTGGTACCTTTGTTACAATTGATGAACCAATATTGATCCATTATTACTAACTAAAGTCCATAGTTTATTTTAGGGTTTTCTCTGTGTTGCACAGTTCCATGGGTTTTGACACATGCATGTCATGTGTCCACCACTACAGTATCATACGGAATAGTTCTACTGCCCTAAAAATCTCCTGTGCCCCACCTATGCATCCCTCTCTTCCTCTCCAGGAACCCCTGGCAACCACTGATCTTTTTATTGTCACCATAGTTTTTCCTTTTCCAGAATGTCATATAGTTGGAATCATGCAGTATGTATCCTCAGACTGGTTTCTTTCACTTAGCAATACACATTTAAGGTCCCTCCATGTCCTTTTTTTTTTTAAGAAATTTTTATTGGGGAACAGTGTGTTTTTCCAGGACCCATCAGCTCCAAGTCAAGTAGTTGTCTTCAATCTATTGTAGTTGTGGAGGGCGCAGCTCCACGGCCCAGGTGGGAACCGAAAAAGCAACCCTGGTGTGATTAGCTTGTGCTCTAACCACCTGAGCTAACCGGCCACCCCATCCTCTGTGTCTTTTTGTGGCTTGATAGCTAATTTTTTTTTTATCACTGAGTAATATTCCATTATATAAATGTACTACCGTTTGGTTATCCATTCACCTATTGAAGGACATCTTGGTTGCTTTCTATTTATGACTAAAGCTGCTATAAACATTTGTGTACAGGTTTTTGTGTGGACGTAAGTTTCCAACTCATTTGGATAAACACCTAGGAATATGATTGATGGATTATATAGTAAAACTATGTTTAGTTTTGTAAAAAACTGACAAAATGTTTTCACAACTGACTATACCATTTTGCATTCCCACCAGCAATGAATGAGAGTTCCTGTTGCCCGGAATCCACATTAGCATTTGGTGTTGTCAGTGTTTGGATTTTAGCCATTCTAATAGGATTTAGCCATTCAACGAGATACTGGTATCTTGTTGTTTTAATTTGCAATTCCCTAATAATATGTAATGTTGAACATCTTTTCATATGCTTATTTGGATATTATGTATCTTTTGTGGTGGTGTCTATTCAGATCTTTTGTTCAGTTTTTAATTGGGTTGTTGAATTTCAAAAGTTCTTTGTACAGCCTAGATAACAAATCTTTATTAAATATGTGTTTTACAGATATTTCCTCCCAGTCTGTGGCTTGTCTTTTCATTGTCTTATCTAATCAAATTTTTTGGCATAAAGTCGCTCATCGTTATTTTCTTGTTTCTTAAATCTCTGCTCTATTTTTTGATGCCCCCCTTTTTAGTCCTAATATTTATTTGTGGTTATTTCTCTTTGATCTCGAGCACTCTCACAGGACTTTGTTTCTTTATTACTTTTTTCAAAGATCTAACTGTAGTTTTGTTGTCCACCTATATTGCATCTTTTTCTATTTTAATTTATTCTGTGATCTTTATCTTCTACTATTTTGGATTTATTCTTTTTTCTAATATATTAAGCTGATCACTTATATAATTAATTTGTAGTCTTTCTTATTAGTGTAAGAATATAAGGTTATTAATTTACTTTTATATCATAAATTTTCATAAATAGTATTCTTATTACCTCACAAATCTAATATTATAAACTTCCACTGGGATTTTTCTTTGATCTTTGTTATTAAGATGTTTTTTAAATCTCCAAATATACAGTTTTTAAAATAATCATTTTATGATTGATTTCTAACTTAATTGTAATATGGTCAGAGAATGAGACCTGTATGAGAGCAATATTTTGCAATTTGTAGAAAGTTGCTCAATGGCCTAAATCAAAATTAACTTTCTTAAGTCATTCTGGTATATTTGAAAAGTATGTGTGTTCTCAAAATACTGGGTGCAGAGTTCTATACACATTCCTTAGAGAATATTAATGGTGTTGAAGACATTCCTGCAATGACTAGTGATTCTTGGATGTCTTTTCATATTTAAGAGTGCTTGCTATAGACTAAGTGTTTTGTGTCCTCTCAAAATTCATATGTTGAAAACTAACTCCCAATATAATGTTATCAGGAGGTGGGGGCTTTGTGGATGATTAGGTTATGAGGGTGGAGCCGTCATGAATGGGATTAGTGCCTTATAAAAGAGGCCCAAGAGAGCTCCCTACCCCTTTGGCCAAGTGAGGACACAGTGAAGACAGCTGTCTATAAACCAGGAGGCAGCCACTTACCAGACAGTAAATCTGTCAGCACCTTGATCCTGGACTTCCCAGCCTCCAGAACTATAAGAAATAAATTTCTGTTGTTTATAAGCCACCAAGTCAATGGTATTTTGTTATAAACAGCCGGAATGGACTAAGACAAAGAAGGAGGTACTAAAAAGCTGACTGGGAAATCTTTATGCACAGATGGGGCTTGTTGACTGGGCTTCAATGTAGGGTGACTGCTTATGGACCCACGCAGTTCATTATTGGATCCTTCAATTGTCAATATTCTGCCATTTTAACCTAATTTGTCTTCTAAAATTATATTGACATTTGTTTGTCTCCTATTATCTTCTCTCCTTTTTTTTTTTTTTAGCTGAGCCATCCCGCCACCTGTTGGCAGCTCTGCAGCTGTTCAGCTCGGGCTGACTCGAACCACTGTTGCTCAGAGCTCAAACTCTTGAGCGAGCTCTTAACCAACTGAGCCACTCAGCCGGCCCCTATCTTCTCTCCTTTTTGTTCTTTGGGTTTCTAAACTTTTCACTCCTTTACTTTCATTAAAAATATTTTTTTATTGAAGTATATATGCATTCAGAAAAATGCCCACAAATATGCAACCTGAACACACATGTAAACCAACACTCAGATTAAAAAAAATAGACCATTATCAGCACTTTGTGAGCCTCCCCATGTTCTCTTTCAGAGTCATTACTCCACTAAGAGTAATGACTACATTGACTTCTAACAGCATGGGTAGTTTCCGGTTTAGGGCTCGTACAAAGTATGGGTATGCACTTTTAGTGAACATATATACACACATTTCTGTTGGGTATACAACTAGGAGTGAAATTGTTAGGACAAAGGCTATGCATATATTCGGCTTTAGCAGGTACTGCCAAACAGTGTAACAAAGTGATGTACTAATTTATGTTCCTTTCAGCAACATATTAGAGTTCCAGTTGCTCCACAATCTTGCCAGTACTTGGTATCGTCTGTCTTTTTCATTTTAGCCTTTCTGGTGAGTATGTAATGGTATCTCAATGTGATTTTAATTTGCATTTACTCTTTGTGTTTCAGAATGGGGCAGATTAAAATGCAGGCGTTAATCCCCTACATCTGCCAGAAATTTCCCTTTTGGGTGATTACCTAATGGAACTTAGAACCTTTTTCCTGTACTGGAGGCAATATAGAGGATGAAAGCAACAAGCTTTGCAATCTGACATATTGAGGTTTGATTCTCAGCTCCAGTGCTTACTTGCTTTGTTACCTTGAGAAATTTATTTAACTTTTCTCAATTTCATGTAAAATGGCACTAATAATAGTACTATCTCACTAGGTTATTATGCAAATTAAATCAGATAAAATATGTAAAATGTTTTGCAAAGTTCTCAGTACACTGATCACATAGTCAACAAATGGCAGCTATTATTATACCTTATATTGTTTATGCACATCTCATTTCCCCCTCTGATTTACACATTCTGTGACAAAGCAATAGCACACATTTGCTGCCTCACATATAAGAATTGCTGATAAAGACTGGTTGAATGGACGATTTTAAACATTAATATAAACGGAAGGTATTGTGGTTATTGTTATAAAAGACGGCAAATTATTATAACATCTATAATACAAAATGCACTGCTAATGAGTAATACATTATTTCAACAAGTGTCTCTCCTATTTACCTTCATCATTTAGCAGTTAAGAAAATTAATGCAGTAGAGAAACACTACTGGAGCAATTAGTAATGACAATTAGATGTCCCATTGCATTTGTGAGGGTTCCAGAGGCTTCTCCCTTTAAATCCAAAACCAAAACAAACCAAAACACCACCCCAGGAACAAAAACAAAAGCACCACTTTTCTGAAGAGACGTTAAGCCTTTCAAATTTTAACAGACCCTTTGTTCAGCAGTGGAGAAACTGAGGAGGCAACATCTTCCGTACAAGATGGCGCCGCCCATGTGTACACCCCCGCTAGGATTACGTCCTCTTAGCCAGTCGCAGGACCGGAAGTTGTATCGGCCCTAGTGGATCCGGGTGGGTGCGAGCAGGTGGACGCAGAGGTTCCAGTTCTTCAGTGTGAGGTGCTGCAGGTGTGCGAGGCGGGTCGGGGCCGCAGGTAAGTGAGAATCAGGGGACGCTGAGCCTTTCGCCTGGCTAGTGCGATGGGCAGAGGTGGTTTCCAGTGCAGACTGAGGAAAGGGGTAGAGGTGCTGGTGATGTCACTGTGTGCGGGGGCGACAGATTGCGGGAACCCCGCAGTTCCAGAGCGACTTGGCCCTGCCCCTCTCCCCGCCTCCCAGCGGGGCGTCCTCGCCCCCACCCTCGCCCGCGGCGGGGGCGGTTCAGCATCCAGGTGCGCGGCTCCACGCGCCGCCCCGTAGGCAACCCCCCTCGGACCTCGTTCTCCTCTCTTAAGGAGCATCTACCAACCTCATGGCTCCTTGACCCAGTAAAAAGAAGCGCCGCCCGCAGCACCTGGCAGCGCTGCGTGTCCCCACGCGTTCAGTTACAGTTCCCTCCCCTTGATTCGCGTGGACCTACCCCCGCCTCCCACTGTTACCACCCCTTTCCTCCCAGGCCACACCCGCTGCTTCGGGCCTTGCTGGGAGCCACCTCTTTATTTTTCGCATCATTGGGCTAGATCAGAACTAGAACGTTAATGATTTATTGCAAAATTGATACCTGCTCATTAAAATAAATGTTATAAGCTTTTGATGTACTATTGGACGCAAACGAACTCGCTTAGATACCAAATTATTTATACCGTATTTTTTTAGTTATATTTCAAGGATAGAAGAAACTGCGCTGAAAGGTTTTGTTAATTATTAGAATTGGGAAGTGCAGGAGAAAAGAGGTTTAATAGGGGGAAGGGATGATTAATTTTCGTCAATTTGAGTTTGTTATAAAAATGCATTTATTCTATATTAATTCTAGTTTGTAGTCCATGCATACAGACTTGTAAAACATTCATGTAAAAAATTTAAACAAAATAGATCATCTTTTACCTTCCTCCTTACATCTCCATTTTTTTTTTCCTTTTATTTCCTGTCGCAAAGAACTGTTATCTCTTTGGGGCGTGTTTTTCTATTTCTTTTTCTTTACGTTTATGACATGTGTTTATAATTATATATTCGTGTTAAACTTTTACGAAAGCATATTTTACAAATATGGCAAATTGTACCTATTCAACAACTCGACGTTTTGTACTTAAAAATAGGTCTTGAAACTTTTTTTTGGTCAATATATAGAGATCTACCTGTAGATCCATAGTATGCTAAGATTCCATAGTACCTGAGATTCCATAGATTGCTTACAGTTTTTCACTGTTAGACACAATGTGGCATAGAAAAATCCTTCCACATGTGTCAGTCCCTGTGCGCATGCCTCAAGAATTGAGGTGGAGTTGCTGGGTGGGAGAAGGATGTGGACATTTTAATATAAAACTAGTTACTAGTTAGGCTGGCTGAGTGGTGCGTTGGTTAGGAGCTGGCTTGGGACACCAGCTCTGAGCAGAAGGGCCCCTGTTCGAATATTACATGAGGACCAGTGACGCTGTGCCCTCTACAGCTAAGATTGTGAACAACAGGTCTACCTGAAGCTGGGCTTCTGTGAGTCGCCGGCGACCATGTAGGCTGCAGTGGGGCTGGCCGGCAGCGGGCGTGAGCTTTCTGAGCTACCCGGGAAGAGTGCAATGATCACAATACCAACATAGGCCATTGAAGCGAGGCCTCCACAGCTAGACTGAAGAACAAAATGACAGCATCTTGTCTGGTCTTCCCCAATGCCCCAACGCTGTTCCCTTCCCCCAATTCCCCAATAAAATCTTTAAAAAATAAAAATAAAAAACATAAAACTAGTTACTAGTGAGACTGAGTATTTTTTCTTGATTGTTGGCTATTTTGTATTTCCTCTTTTGAGAAATGTCTCATTTCTATGGGGTTGTCTTTTTATATATTGTAGTGTTTTATATATTCTGGATGTTAACCTTTTGTCATTTATATAAGTATTTATTCCCAACTTAGTGCTTTTTCAAGTTGCTGCTTGTCTTTTAGCCATATGGCATCTTTGTTGAACCAAAGTTTTAAATTTTATGTTTAAATATATCAATCTTTCACGTATGTATTTTGTTATTTTCTAGCTATCATTTCCTACCCCCATGGTTCTCAAATGGGAGATATTTTGCCACCAAGGGGCCATTTGGCAATGTCAGGAGACATTTTTTGGTTGTCCATTGGGGTGGTGGCGTACTGGCATTTAGTGGGTAGAAGCCAGGGATGCTGCTGAACATCCTACAAGGCACAGGGAAGCGCTCCACAACAAGGAATTTTCTGGCCTCAAGTGTCAATAGTGCTGAGGTTGAAAAACCCCTCTCTACCCTGAGGCAGAGCAGCGTTTTCTCTTACAACTGTATTTTCTTTTATAAATTCTTACATGTTTCAGTTTTTCTTCAGTTCCTGTGTGTGTGTGTGTGTGTGTGTGTGTGTGTGTGTGTGTGGTGTGTGCATAATTATTGTTTTCCAAACAGTGTCACTCTGAATAATAGTCAGTGGAGTCTTGACCCGTTCGTCTCAAATACCACATTTATCACGTGCTGATGTCTCTCACACACAAAGCCTGTTTCTGGACTCTCTTCTGTCCTATGGCCTAATTTCTTTTAAGATTTTATTGGGGAATTGGGGGAGGGGGGAACAGACAAGTTGCTGTCCTTTTGTTGTTCAGTCTAGTTGTAGAGGACGTCACTTCACTGGCCCATGTTGGTATTATCACTGCGCTCTTCCCTGCTGAGGCAGATCGGTCGCTGGTCACTGGACGGCCCCTCACGGTAGCTTACAGGAGCCCACTGCAGCCTACATCTTCGCCGGCGACTCACAGCAGCCCAGCTCCAGGTTGAGCTGTTGTTCACCATCTTAGTTGTAGAGGGCACAGCGTCACTGGCCTTAATGTGCCTAATGTGGGATCTGAACCGGGGCCCTGCCTCTCAGAGCTGGTGTCCCAAGCCAACTCTTAAGCAACACTCTATTCGGCTGGCCCCCAGATCATGTGATTCTGAAAAAGCTTTTGGGTTAGTTTCTGTTATATTTTTTAATTCTTATATAAGCACTTGTTTGTTTAAGCCAATTTAATACAGCTGCTTTTTTATAAATGGTAGGGTGGAGCAGTAGTAGTCAAGTCTGTCTTATGGTCTTTGTTTTAGGTACCTTTTATCTTTTTAATTAATCATTAGTCCTTTTAAATAAATCTTTCAGTGAAGTTACTTAGACATTAAAAGCCTTTTGTGAGTTTCTGCATGCCAATTAAAATAGGTATCGCATTCTGTTTGCTCAATTTGGGAGCTCTTATTTTCAAGTGAACTTTTAAAATGATTTTTATTGGAACATTCCTCATAATAGCCATTTTAATTTTAGATTATAATTTCCTTGGGGGCTGGCAGCAGTTTGGTAGGACCCTAGCTATAGATAGAATTTAGCCCACACTCCTTTCTGACCATATTTTGGACCTTCCAACCTGACAGTTACCAAGCCAAATTCTTGGGATATAAGATTTTTAGATTGACTTTTAGCAAGATATTGTGGCCTAATTTTTTATTTTGCCAGACCAATACCACAACATTCTGTATTAAATATACTTTGGTACCTAGAAGGGTAAATACTCCCTTATGATTATTATTATCATTATTTTATTGGAAATCATATACTTTATCAGCTCATGTACTCATTATTTAAAAAACAGTATTTTGGTGCTAGTCTTACAATTTCTTTTCCAGGTTAATTTTAGAATCAGCTTGTCAAATAGTTTTTTTTTAGTGGCTTCATTGAGATGTAATTCACACAATTCAGTGTCAATTCAGTAATTGCTAGTATATTCATAGTTATGCAGCCATCACCACGATCTAATTTTAGAACATTTTTCTCACCCGCAAAAGGAAACCCATACCTATTGGCAGTCACTCCCCATTACCTGGCTCTAGGCAACCCTGGTTTATCCATGTTGTAGCATGTATGAGTACTTATTCCAGTTTATTGCTGAATAAAATTCCATCCTATTGTGTATTTGTTTCCTAGTGCTACAGTAACACAGTCTGTGTGGCTTAAAATAACAAAAATGTATTCTACCACAGTTCTGGAGGCTTAAAGTCCAAAATGGAGGTATCAGCAGGACAATGGTCTCTCTGAAGGAATTAGAGCAGAATCCTTTTTGCCTCTCCCTAGGACCTGGCGGTTGCCGGGAATCCTTGGCATTCCTTGGCTTGCAGCTGCTTAACTCCAACCCTTCTCTGCCCTTGTCTTCACATGGCCATCTTCCCAGTGTCTATCTTCACATTGTAATTCACTCTGTGGGAGTCTGTCTCTGAGTCTCTTCTCCCCTTCATGTAGGGTACCAGTTATATTGGATTCAAGGACCATGCTACTCCAGGACGACCTCATTTTAACTTGTGCAAAGACCTTATTTCCAAATAAGATCACATTCATAGGTACTAGGGGCTAGGATTTCAACATATCTTTTCCGGGAACACAATACAACCCATAAAATTATGAATATGCTATATTTTATGCACTCCTCAGCTGATGGACATTTGGGTTGTTTCTACTTTTTGGCTGTTATGAATAATGCTGCTATGAACTTTTGTGTGGAAATATGCGTATCTGAGAGTAGAATTGCTGGGTCATATGGCAACTCTATGTTTAATCATCTGAGGAACTGCCAGAGTGTTTTCCAATGCAGCTGCATCATTTTACATTTCTACCAGCAATGGATGAGAGTCCTAATTTCTCTGTATTATTGCCAGCACTTATTATCTGCCTTTTTGATTAGAGCCATCCTAGAGGGCGGGAAGTGGTATCTCATTGTGGTTTTGATTGCATTTCCCTAATAGCTAATGATGTTGAGCATCTTTTCATGTGCTTATTGGCCATTTGTATGTCTTCTTTGAAGAAATATCTATTCAGATCCTTGCCCATTTTTAATTGGTTTATTTATCTTTTTATTATTGAGTTGTAAGAGATATTTATATATTCCAGATACATGCCCTTACCAGATATATGATTTGCACATATTTTCACCCATCCTGTGTGATGTCTTTTCACTTTCTAGATGGTCAATTCAGTTTTTAAAAAT